GGCTGTAGCTCAAGTGGTAGAGTGCTCGCCTTGAGCTGAAGAGCTGAGGGACAGTGCCCAGGCACAGAGTTCAAGCCCGATGACCGACCAAAAAAGATGCTCAAGAAATTGTAAAAAAAAAAAAAAAAAAAAAGAGAATAAAGAAAATATGGGGGGGTGGGATATGGGGGAGGAAGCAAGTGTAAATCTGAGCCATTGTCTTGTCTGTTAAAGATACTTTTAATTAGCTATAAAAAATGGTACTTGAACGATCTCAACATATCTCACCCTTACTACCTTCTAGGTGAGATTTAGGATTACATCATTTTCTACAATTAACTTGAATTCTGCTCAGCAGAATTAGTCTTTTATTTAGAAACTTTTATTGACCATATGCTGTGTGACAGAGTTTGCTACATGAAGTGAAGACAGATATTATTGTTGCTTCCTGCCTTAGTTTTACTGTTTATGGCACATGCCTTATTTTATTTTTTGGGGGGTCCAGTCGTGGGGCCTGAACTCTGGGCGTGGGTGCTCTCCCTCAGCTCTTCAGCTCAAGACTAGCGCTCTACCACTTGAGCCCAGTGCCACTTCCAGCTTTTTTTTTTTTTTTTCTTATGTGGTGCTGAGGAATCGAACACAGGGCCTCAGGCATGCAAGACAAGTGCTCTCCCACTGAGCCACCTTCCCAGCCCCGACATGCCTTATTATTAAGGGATAAATTAAGTGTGACAAATTTACACTATTCTGAATAGAAATTGATGGCTGAAGTATAGCTCAGATGTAGAATTGTTGCCTAGTACATTCAAGGTCCTGAATTCCATCCCCAGTACAGAAAAAAGCAGGGGGAAAGAAATACAGGTAATATCTGGTTTTCTAGACTGTAGGATTTAACATGTTTATTTACAAATTAGTAGGTGGACCTGTTGGTTGGTCAGATTTCAGTTGCTTTGCTGGATTTCCCAGGTTCTTTGGGGCCAGGTAGAATGCTGGTTCAGATTAATAACCACTGAGGCTTCTCAATAAGTATAACTTTAATGTGACACCTACAAGAAGGGTGAGTTGTTTTTCTTCTTGTCCTTTCTAGGCATACCCAGAGTATCTCATCACATACCAGATTGTGAAACCAGAAGCCCCCTCACAGACCTCCACAGCTGCAGAGCAGAAGACCTAGTAAATGCCCCCCCACCCCCAGTAAAAACCAGATCGAATGCCAACCTGGGACTAGATTACAGTGGATTGTGTTCAACAACAACAAAAAAATCCACAGTCTCTTCATCCTTGACAGCCTAGAAATAAGCTACTCGTCTTTCATAAAGCATTGCGATAGTGATGAGTATATTATGAATAACAAATACTCAACTGCTACTGTTCCCGTTGAGGGAATGTTTACAAGGGCGGCCTTTTAACATATCTCAGGCTCATTCTCATTGCAGTTACCCATTTCTTAAGCCAGATTTCTTTGATCTAGACTTGGAAATGGAAAAAGAAAACCAATACTGTCTCATATGTTCATAATCGCACACTACATTTGCTTTATGTGTATGACATATAACAGACATACACATATGACAGGCTCATTGAACTTTTTTTCAAACATGCATCATTGGTGCTTTTTTACTTTGAAAATGAGCCCAGAGCCCTTCCCAGGATATTTTGAACAAGTCACACTGAATAATACCATTAACAGTGTAGTGCAGCCTGAGCTTCTGGCTAAGCAAGATGCTGTTTCCACTTTTTTGTTGGTTTTGTATCTGTGCTTGTTGTGAACACAAATGAAGATGAAAAGGGAAAACATCAAACTTTAATTTCCTTTTTCTAGTCTGCCCAGCTTACAAGGGAAGACACAGACCATCAGCCTGACTTAGGAGCTGATGAGATATTAGAGCCAGGAACAGCCACTTCCTTTTTCCAGTACAGCCTGCTGCGTGGGGAGTTCAGGACAGTGCTGGAACCCCAGAAAGCATAGTCAGGAACACATCTGAGTGAAGTAATGATGACTTCTGTTCCCCAGTGAACTGCCTACAAGGCGCTGGCTAGTCAGCCTACAAACAGGGAGCTTGATGAGAAGCACCTGGCTGTACACATTGCAGCCAAGAAGCGTGGAAGGGACTTCTCACAGAATAGATGATACTTCCCTTCAGTCAACCTGTACCACCAGAACTGGGGTCCTCAAAAGTAACTGCCTTATTCCCGAAGTCAGTGAAACTATTGTACTTCATTAAGGTCTCAAAACATTTTATTGTCTCTTTAGTTTAGAAAGCTAGGACTCAACCCTTGTAATAGATGTACACAAATGCAAGAACTTTTTTGACTTCAGATTTGAAGGGTATTTTGAGTAGCATGCTTCAAATAGTTTATAAAGATCTCTGCACTAAATTTTTGAGCTATTCTTAATATATTTAGACAAAAAATTGAAACCAAAGCCCTTTTGGTTATTTTTTTTTAATGAATTTGATAAGGAAGCACCATACTGCTTCTTCTCCCCAACATTTGCAAAGTACATATTGACAGTAATGAAAGTTACCCACTGCAGTCCTTAGGCTTGCCCTGGTCACCATGACTGAGTATTGGGCAGAGTGCATATTTTTATTTACTTGACATGCTGTGCATCTCACTCAGCTTTGAAGCAAAAGTAATGTGAACATCATAGAAAAATAAGAACCAGTGTAAACCTGCCACATCCATTGAAAGTCCTGAAAACTAATATAACTTTTCTTTTTAGTGCAGTCTGATTAAGCTGTGACCTCCTTTAAGTTTCCAAACGTGAAATAAAATGGCTACATGCAAAATCTTAGAAATAAGCTCTTGAAATAAACTTTTTTTGTGGCTTTAGCCTAATGCTAGAATGAGGCACTGAGACTGCTGAATTTTCTATTTGAAGCTTGCATGGGTCCTCAAAGTTCAACCAAGAATTAGCGTTACCTGTTGCTTCTGTTGAAGTGTCAGTGACCTAGGCTGGGTGTTTTTTTCTTGGCTGTGTATTTAGTGGCACTAGAGGGCTTTTTTCCTCCTTCCCTTCTTTTTTGCTGTGTATAAAATGGTTGAAGAAATGGCTCTCGGTGTCATTTTGAGTAGCTGTGGAGTGTGTATTACTCGCCCTCACCTCCAGCATAGTCAGAACAGTAAACACACCTGTGGGTTTTAGTTAAATAAACAAGTTAATATGGTGTAGATATGGACAGCTCTATAGCTTCATTAAAAAGATAAACCACTACCCAACTGTGGTTGGATGTTGTGTTATTTCCATCATATACTAATTAGATTCATACATGTGCCAGTTTTAAATGTGGGCTTTACACTTGAGAAGTTAAGATTGTGGTTCATTCAACTGCCAGTGTTCTATGTCTGATGTTCTGTATACCTAGTAAAGGTACATGTAAAGAAGACATCGCAGCACTTCTAGTCAATTCAAGCATGTCATAGTTCTTGAAAGAGTGTATGTATATTATCAATTAAAGAGATTAGGTTAAGGGATATATCACAGGAGCCAAATAGATTTTTTCAGAACTTGAAAGCCAAAGGTCATCATGAGTATACTTAAAAGTTAGCAAAAGTTGATCACACTTGGAATTTCCATATATAGTAATGTGAGGAACCTTCTGGAATATAAAAGTGTGGTATTAAATTTAACTAGGCTCTGTTTAATTTCTTATATATGCACTATTGAAAAACACAAGTTTGGGACTCCCTGAAACACACCCTCTGATTCCCAAACTGAACAGAAGAGAGAATCTTGACATTTCTGCCGTTGCTACCAGCTTTTACCACAGTTCAAAGGGCTTCTTTAGGTCTGAGGGGCCCAGTTTTCCAGGGTTTTTTTGTTTGTTTGTTTGTTTGTTGTGGCTAACTGGGGATATTTAGGCATAAATTAAGTGCTCTAAATACTTTGCTCCTTGGACTTACCTTTGCCTTTCCCTCAATTGCTAGTTGTAATTTTAGAAAGCTCTAATTGCCTTTTACCCCACTTATTTTCTTTCTTCATCTTAAGTCTTACAAAAAGAATCTGGGTATCTCTCCATTTCCATATCACAACCAGAACTGTGCTCAAAATTTCTGCCAGTTTGTTAGCAAATGACCACATGGAACCCAGAGTTTTTCTTCTACACAAAATGATAGCAGTACACCAGGATTCTTATTTTCTCTTCCTCTTTAGCAATCCAGAATTTCTAGCCAAGTAGAAATTCTAGCCAAGCAGCTTACGTAAATAAACAATATAGTGTGTATTCACAAAATAACAAGCATCCTTGTGCTCCTTTGAGCTTGATGATATTGGCTGATCTCCCTTTGCTGTCTTAAAATAGCCAAGTGCATTGAAACATATAGAGAAATGCCTAAACATGATGACAAGCAAACACTAATATAGATTCACTTTCTATTGTCATAGATATTGTACAAAAACAAAATTTTGTTTAAAGCAGGAAAACAGTTCTACCAAATGCAATAGGCTGTTGAGATTTTTCTCTATTTCAGCATATTCTCTAAATGCACAAAGTGTTATTAAACATTGTTCTCCTTCCCTTTTCAAGTGTGTATTAAATGGATTCCTATAAATGGTCTCACAAACAGTTTTCTAAGCGGCTTTCCACCAGTGCACCTAGACCTCAGTTGTGTGTTATCTGTGGTAGCCTTCTGACTGTGTTTCTTTCAGAGTAATTATCTTCCTACAGCTACAGACTTTAGTCATTCAACAAATGTTCAAACCTGACATTAAACTAGGGTTTAGTGTGTCAGACATTTACTTAAAGACTGAAGTTTGTAGGATGTTAAATCAACGACAGAGAAATGAAAATAATACTTGCTACTCTGAGCACATCTAACATAGGGAAAGGAAGAACAGTCCAAAAATACCACCTTTTAAGAGAGGCTGCTTCTGGCAACTTGTGCATTCTGCAATTAATAGGCAGTTTTTCTTCTTAAGAAAGCCTTAACTTGGCAGACATTTTTTAATCTTTTATATCCTGATGTGTGAAACAGTCTAATTCTATTTCTTAGCATTGGAACGGTGTCACTGAATGGGGTATGTCTCCATGTATTACGTATATGGTAAGCTGACGAGGGAATATTTCCTAATACGCCCTCACATACAACAGCGAACAGAATCAATACGTTCCAATTTCTCCATATCTGAAACTCCTCAGATCTTGTGGTTTGGAGAAATGCTAAGATTTCAAAGCCTGTTAAATTGTACATATGGGAATATAATAACAACCGTGATACCATGTAGCATTTGCACAGTGTGCGAGCTATTTTTTAATCATTTTAAAATAGAAACTATGATATATTAAACTGAACACCTGTAGGAAACTGAAGATTTTATATACTAAAAGACCAAATATGGTCATAGTGAGACCTATTTTATACTTCTGCCAGAGTGTTCTGCAGAAGCCCTTTAAGGTAACATTCACACTGTAGGAGGATTGCATTTGTACTCTCCTTTGGCCTTCTGTCCCTTACACTGGGCATCTCTGTACCACTCCTCCATCATCTTTTCCAAGAGTTCCCTCACCCTCCAGAATTCAGATTGTTTTTGTCATTTTTGTCTGTCTATTTCCACAGGCACCCCTGAGTGTGCCCCATGATTCAGTTTAGTAGTGAAGCGTCCACATACTCTGCTGTCCTTCCCAATGTTCAGGACAAACAGTCGGGGAACACTACAATGAAAGAAAGTTAAGAAGAACCTAAGTCTTGCAGGCCAACAGCCTAGAGCTAGGAGGTAGCCCTGACTGTAACCATTGCTTCTGCTCCCATTGTTCTACAGCTTCTTATCTTTGTGGTAATAATTGTCTTTCATACCTACAAAACTAAAAAGGTACTTTGATGCACAAGGTTTCTGAGAAACATTTACAAACCAGCTTTGAGGAAATCTAGAATGTTTCCTGGCAGCATTGAGTAGTAGTTGTATTTTCTCATTGTGATATTGTTTTGTGTAAGTAAGTAGTGGCCTTTTGGTTCTTATCCGTGTTGTTTTATTTAGTCAGTGTGCCCACCAAAAACCAGAGTTCATTGTCTATTTATAGGATTGTCAGATAGAACATAAGAAGGCCTGTTAAACTGGAATTTCCAAGTTTTCTACATTGTGTTTCATGCAATATTTAGCATATCCTTACAGTTTAAAGTGGGGAAGAGATTCTTTACTTACATGAAATCTAGGTTTAACTGTGCATCCTGGGCTTTTGCTTTGTTTTCTCTATCTGGCAATCCCAGCTATTTGGTCATGGAAAGTTGCTCACAGCATGGAAATTCTTCTAGTCTTTGTGTCTTTGCCTAAAGGCCTCTTTACCCTCACCCTCTAACTTACTTTCCAAAGAGGGCATCAGGAACTTAACTGACGCCATGGTGGGGTTTCTATTTAAAACATCTCTGTGATTGTATTTAACCTGTAATTGTGCTTTGGCTTAACATCTAACTTACACTACTTGTAATTCATTAATATTCAATAAAAAAATTTATAAAGTATGCTGTGTGGATAGCAGTCCACTCTTAAGTGTTTTTCTTTAACTGTTCGCATCAGTCTGACTAGCCTCAACACAGCTGATCTAAAACTGTCAGAATTCATATAACAATATTCCTTCATCTTCCTTGTGAGACCAGGGTTTAAAGTTCTTTATTCCCACCTCCAAGTCCCTGTGGGAGTTAAGAAGTACAGCAGTCGCAGGGGGTACGTGGGTTCCCTTTAGTAAAGCCCTATGCCACAGCTCACGGGCCCCGCTTGATAGTCCAGAGACTCAACTCTGCCCACATCTTAGACTGGAAGAAAGAAAAGGAGGATTGTGTGCTCAAGGCAATGATTAATAATAAAAAACCTAGCACAGCCACACATAATCTGAACACTTATAACCTAAGCATTGGGGGGGGGGGGGGAGGCAGAGGCAGGAAGACATAAAGTTCCAAGCAAACCTGAACTTTAAGCAAGACCCTGTCTTAAAAAAAGCAAATGCCTAGCATAGAGAACAGAGGATATATTTCTCATTTCTTCCCTTCTCTCTCCATGCTTAATGACCCATTAGGTGGCAGGTTCAAAGCCACAGTTTATTAGTAAACTGTCAGCATAAATGTCAGTCACAGAGGTTGCTAAGTACTTAGAAGCCCTACAAGAAGAGAAGACAGTATGGAACCCATAAGATTTACCCAGGCTCTAGACCATCATTAATCAACAACCCTGAAAAATCCTTTAACCTCCATTGACAGGTAAAGTGACTGAAAGTGGTGAAGTTCTTCCCACTGTAAGGCTAAATGCAGTAGCTACATGCCAAGCCCTGGCCATGGAGCTGTGGTGTGTTACACTGGAGTGAAAGTAGAGTTGATGTCACTATATAACTATATATCTTGTCTCCCATGATAGATTCTGAATGCCCTTTAGACTCCGCTTCCCCCCTTTGGTTATTGTATTAGGAAACAGAAATGATCAGAATTGGACACAAAAGGCAAGTCGAATATAAAATTAAAAAAACAAAAAACTTCAGAGCTGGAAATGTGGCTTAGTGGTAGAATGCTAACCTAGCATGCATGAAGCCCTGGTTCTATTCCTTAGGACTACAGAAACACAAAAAGCCAAAAGTGGTGCTGTGGTTCAGGCCTTGAAGAAAAAAGCTCAGGGACAGTGCCCAGGCCCTAAGTTCAAGACTCGGGGAAAAAAAAAACAACAACTTCATCAACATGGTTTCCATTATGGCATTAAGAATCCACATTTTTATCTGAACCTCTTGAATAGTTGCTTTGTGGGAGGTGTGGGCCACAAAGCATTTCCTAAAGGAAAAGTAAATCTTCCTAATATAAAGGGATGAGTGCTTGGGGGCAGCAAATTTTGAAGAACTACTAGTTGCATTGCTTACCATGGTAGTTCTCACACAGAGTCAGGTTGGAAGCTACAAGCCCTATGTACAGTACTTTGCTTTTGGCTGGCTTTATTTTTCCCTACTTTTCTAAGCCAAAATAAAAGGCCTCTGTACCAAAGAAGTACCTGCTCCCTCCTGTCAGCCTGGGGCCTCAATGCCTTGTCTTGCAGTTGGCATCTGTTCAGATGGCCTGAACATTGTAGAAGTGGAAGATGGAGTCTTCCTTTGTTTTCAAGTAAGACATAACATGTTAAAATGATTCTTGACATTTCCTGCCCAAGAACTGATTAGTAAAGTAAGTCTGTTAGTAATTCTACTTAGAATCAGTAGTGAAAAGCGTATGATGGGAGGTGATATTGGATTGACTGACTTGGCTCAAGTCAGAAAACCAGTGTCTGCCCTAGATCACTAAATGACCCCATAGTTGGAAGGAAACGAGGATTCTGTGTCTCTACTTTTCTATCTGCTAACTAGGAATCCTATACCAAACAGGACTGCTTGGAAATATACAAGGTGATACAAGTTACCGCAAACAAATCTGAGAAAACATCTCCAATAAAATAGCAAAAAGCCAAAAGTAAAGTGTGGCTCAAGCAGTGGAGTACCTGCCTTGAGTGAAAAAGCTAAGCAAGAACACAAGGCCCTGGAATTCAAGTCCCAATAAAATGTATTTTAAAACGTTAAGCACTATGTTCAGCTCAGAAGTACAGGAACTCCAAGTCCTTCCTTTGTCTTGGTTTGAATGTACCTTCTGACCCCAAAGTCATGTGCTGGCTTTTTATACACCTCAATGCAACAGGGTTGAGAAGTGGAATCTTACTGGGTCAAGGACTTCGCTCTAGTGAATGGGTTTTAATGGCTTTGTGAGTGAGCCTGTAATAAAAGCAAATGTAGTACCTCCTCTTGCTGCCTTGTACTCTTGTTCTGAAACTTCTCCACTACAAAACTATAAGTAATAAATCTGTTCTTCATTGATTATGATCTGTAATTCCGTTAAAGCAGTACAAAGCAGACAAGGAGCTGTTCTCCCTTCTAAATCATAACAGCAGGATGGTTTCTTACGTTTTCCTGAGACAGCATCCTGCAATGTAGTAGACTAGGCTGGCCTGGAACTTGCCATTCTGCCTAAGCCTGCTGAATGCTGGGATTAAAGCAGGACTCTTTTCAAGAAAAGGTAAAACAAGCAGAAGTGGTTGAAAATGTATTTATTTTTCTTCAAATGATCTTTTTCAAGCAATAAATAAAAACAGACATGTTAATGTTCCTAAAAAAACAAAACTCCCCTAAACTATATACATCCTAGAGAAATACAGGCATATCAAATGTAGAAATGATGCCACTCAGAAAGACAGGGCTATTTACACAAGTTAGAAGTATTGCATTGCTGTCTTGCAGGAGTCTCTTCTTGAATGACTCATAGCTCTAAGGAAGGCAAAAAAGGCAGGGTACAGGAGAACCTTCAGCACATCTTGATGGACAAGCAGGTTTCCAGGAAACACAGTAATACTCAGGCATGGTATTGCCTTTCGGGGAGCATGGAAAGATACCCCAGGACTCCAGAGCACCCCATCTCATTCCCCAGACAGCTGGGATGATGACAAACACCAGTGACCAACACCTGGCTGGGATTGTTTTGAGACAAGCCAGCTCTGGGTTGCCAAGATCCAGTCCCCCAAAGCATCCTGCCATCCTGTCCCAAACATGGTTATCTATGGGCAGCACCCAGGGAACATTGGGCTCATGCTTGGATCCACCCACACAAGTTCCACTTTGCCATCAGGACTTTGAAGGTTGTCCAGGTAGTTCTAATGGGCAGCCACCATGAACCACTGCTTCACTGCCATAGGTGTCATAGGCAACTTCGTTCCCTTCCTTTTTGAATCAACCATATTCCTGCTATCCCTCCCTCTTCTCAAGGGCGCTCTCTTATTCCTCAAGGCGTTCCAACCCTGTTGCAAACAGCACCTGAGAACAATGGCCTCAGGAAGGAATAAAGCTCAGAGCTGCCACTACATGCTCTCCAGTGCTTCTGCCTAATACTGCTCCTATGAGCAAGTCCAGCCCCTTCCCTTCATGGCAGCTCCATGAACACCATAGGGTAAGACAAGATCCTGGGAGAGGACAGCCATCTTTCTCACTCTCTATGGTACCTACCCAATTTTCCCTTTTGTGACCAATAGCAAACGTAAGCAAGCAGTGAAGTGGCCATGGTTTCTGCCATTTTAGAAATTGCCTATGTGCTGACTTCACCTCAGGGAAAGACAATTGCATGCCGATGCGCACTGACCCTGAATTAGTGTCTTCATTAGAGCTATTCCAACTCATCAGAAAGCCTTCTGGTAGAACAACAATTTTTTTTAAAAAAAAGAGGTCCCCCTTTCAACCAAGCCAATGTCCTATTTTATTTCTAAGAGTTTGGGACCCATGCTGTCATCAAATACAAAGAAAATGACTTTATATATAGCCATTTGACATTTGTGATTGAAGACTTGAATTGGGACACAGGGAAAAGACATCTAAAGCTAGTCCTGAGTTCCCACTGTCCATAGGTTTGGAGTGCAGTCTGGGAACAAGGACATATTTGGCAAATGGACACTCATGGTATAAAAGGTGACTGTTCTCCAGGCTACCCTCCCCCCCACTGCCCTGCAGTAGCCCTCCACCACTCTTGGAAGCCCATGGCTTTTTTTTTTCAGCTACAAAACTCTCTTGACCTCATCCTTCATCAAACATGGAGCAACTTCCAAGAATCCAGGAAAAAGTGGAAATGTCCAACTGCATAATCTCTACAAAGGTCACCCATCCAGGAGCCCCAGCCCCTTCACCCCATGAAAATGCAGTGAAGCAGCTCCCAGAGAAGTAGGGTGCCTATGCCGTCCTACAAACAGGAAGTGGGAACTCTGGCCTCACCGGAAGGCAGGGCTAGACACAGGCAAGACAGGACAATGATGCTGATGCCAACACAGGTTCGTAGTTCACAGAAGTAAACGTTAACGAACCTGGGCCTGCCTGGGATGCCGGCTAAGAACAAGCATTCCATGATTGTGACATTGAGGCTTGAAGTTATTTGGGTGAGCAAGAATGTTCACTGAGATCTAGACTCCCAAAGGACTAATGGAGACATGCTCTCATTTCTAGACAAGTTTGCGATGGCCTCTATTCTGGCACTCTGTAACAACACTATTCCACAACGTTACAAATGAAGAAACACACAGTTTGTTCCCTCTTCCCTACCTCCTCCCTCCGCCCTCCCCCTAGAAAGCATCCTTCCCCTTCCCAAGCCATTCCTCCATTGGACAGGCCCCTTAAAATGGCCTTAGCCCAAGAAAGGATTCAAAATGGCTCCCAAGTACCCATGATGCACTTGCCAGGAGCCAGCAGTCAACCCTTTACCCCTTAAACCCCAAAACCTCTCACCCACTGGACTCAAAGAGACCTGAAACATGAAATCCACTCTCCCTTTTATTCAAAAGAGGGCCTTCAAAAATGTTCAACAAGGATCTAAAAATGCAAGGATTTGTTATGCTTCAAGTAAAGCCACTAAAATTAAAAACTACACTATGTGGGAAAGAGAATTCATTTCTGGTATCTCTACTCATCTGGCTTCTTCCCCTTGGCCTTATCAAATAATGTGCCATAGGAAAAATCTGAATTGTACTCAGTTTTCCCAGAGAACCTGATAGAACGTGGCACAAATCACAGACACTATGCAAGGCCTGGGCAGGTGATGTAACTGAGAAATACTCCCACCATCCAACTGATCATAGGAGAGAAAAGATTGTATGCTCATGGCCTCTAGGCCCAGGAACCAGCTGCAAAAGTAACAAACAGTCCTCTCTCTTCTTTCTCCTCCTAGCCATCCACCCCCTTCTCAGTGGCAAAATAATCATCACGCTAACTGGCACAGACCTTGAAGTCACCATCATCTGCCCCAATGCTTAAACATCTGCATGCAACTGCACTCGTGATGGATGTCAACATAAATACATTCTAAATTCACTGTTGCTAAACTTGTTGGACTTACATACTCTAAGGAAAAAAAATCTCAATAAATACTTTATTATTAAGCATTAATTACTCACCTGCTGGTGAATAATTAGAAATGAAAACCACATCCTAGAACATCTTTTGCAAGGCAAAATTCCCATGACAACAACAACAACAACAACAACAGGACTCGCACACAAAACCAGGCACTTCTGGCAAACTTGTTTTCTTCTTGCCCCTCCCTCCCACCCACCCTACCATCATCTAATAAAATGGGACTGGCACATTTGCCAGGATTTGGGGGGGAAATCTCATAACTTCAAGCCTTAATTGTTTAAAAAAATGAGGTAAGAAATTTCTACCTGACAAAGTAAAATTGACACATGAACCAAATCCAGGTTTTCTCTCGCCACTGATGCCACCATTATTGCTCTAAATTAGAGTGTTTTGTGAGTTTGTTTTTAAATGTGTATTCAGAGTCCTTATTGCCATTCTAGCTGGCCCCGTGGATGGCCAAGGAGAAATGGATGGGGACAGCACTTGGTCACCTGTCCCCACTAGTCTCTACTTGCTCTCCTATGCGTTGCTCATGCCCTGGCTAGGATGGAAGCCACTTCTGGCTCTGGGGGTTCACAGCCTGGCTCTAACAGCTGGGGGAAGTGGTAATGGGGCTATGCAGGTATGGCAGGCTGCTGGGGGCTGAGTGCACCCCCACGGAGACAGGGAAGCTGAAGACAAACTGGGAGGTGGGAGTAGGGGTGGCCTTGCCCCGTTCACGCAGGGGGCCGGAAGGGCTGGCAGCCTCCACGGCACAGGATGTGGCCAGCACCTGGGATTCGAACTGCAACAGCTGCCCCATGAAGCTGAAGTTGGGCGAGATAATGCTCCGGCGCTGTTTGACGAACTCAAAGGCTTCTTCCAGCCTCACCCGCTTCTTCATCATCAGGTAGGCCAGGCAGATGGTGGCCGAGCGTGAGATGCCAGCCTGGCAATGCACCAGCACCCGCCCGCGGCAATCCTTCACTGCATCTGGGCAGAGAGCACAACATGATTAGGGCTTGATTCTACACCCACCCAGTGGCAGGTGCAGGTGGCTTATGCCAGGACATGGGGAGAAAAGAAGATGAGAAGCTCTTGATGGAAAAGCCCTGAGACTAGAGATTTGGAAGTTAAGCCTATTTTCTAGGCTTAACCAAAACACTCCACTTGGGGGGGGGAGAGTCAAATCCCACAATCAGTTGGATCCTATCTACATTCAAGGATTTCCATTTGCATAAACAAGTCTCCTATCTTCCTTCCCATGCAAAAAAATGTTATGCCTGGAGCCACAAAGACAGTTACTGCTCTGTTAGTCATGCACAGGTGAAGGAATTGTCCACAGAACATCCAACAGACGGCCTTCATGCTGAGCAAGGGGCCACTGGGCCTGCCAGCACAGCCGGGTTAAGTCCCATCCACAGCAGTCCCAGTACCCCTCCCTCCCTCCCATAGCTCACACCCCCTAGGCCGGGGCTGGCATACCGATGTACTCGATGGCTTCCATGAACCAAGAGCTGATGTCCGCCTTGTGGTTATCCTCCACCGGGATGCACTTGTACTGGTAGTGGCCTTCAAAGTGGTTCGGGCAGTCCGAGGAGACATTTAACAGGGCTGTGATCCCCAGGGCGTCCAGCATGTCTCTCCGGGCAGCATGGTAGGCACTGCCAAGGTAGAGGAAGGGGAGGATCTCCACAGGACCCCCCTGCACCGGAAAGGAAACACAGCAGCCCCAAACACTGTGAGTGTAAGGCACCCTTTCAGGAAAAGGCCTGAAGTACAGCCAATCCAGGGGGGAAACTTTCTAAACCCTAGGGACATGCCTGCTGGATAAAGCCTTTCCGGCTCCCCAAACCCCTTTTGGAGCTCCTTGATGGGGTGCCTGGGCTCTGTAGGATTTCTGCACAAACTTTATACTCTTTAGTGGGTGGTCAGTGAAGCCAGGACAGGTCAAGCCCATGAGCGCCACCTTCTGGATCAACTCTCCAGCATCAATGTGGCTGCAGGCACACCAGGCTGGCTTTTCTGTGTGTGTGCCACAGTAGGAGTTCACACCTCATCTGCATGGTGTGCTTTATGGACTGGCTTGGCTGTCTTCACTGAGTGCATCAGAAGCAAAAGGAGAGGTAGAGGCACAATGAGGGAAAATGGCCTACTCAACTCAGGATGAGATTTGCAGGGCAGAGTTGGAAAACCCTGTAATTTCATCCCCAGGGCCATCTAACTGGAAGGACTGGAGTGCTAGGCTTGAAAGAAATTCAGGGGCTTAAACTGGCTTCCATAGAGAAGGGTGTGTGGCTGGTATGTGGGAGGGGAAACTGCCTGACTGTTGGAGAACCATGGACTCATTCTCTGGCTTTTCTTTCCAAGTAGAGTCCTCTGAGCTTCCTGAGGCAACCTGCCCATGTCTCCATTCATAACTCTGGAGGCTATAAAAGCTGGGCATCGTGGCACAGGTCTGGGGGATCCAAAGTTGTAGACCAGCCTGGCTACATAGGAAACCCTGTTTCTAAAACCAAACTCTGGAGGCTAATTCAAGGATAATGTCTTTGTGAGAAAAAAGAAAAAAAATGAGTTTAAAAAAAGAGAGAGGAGGAAAAGAATTCCAAAGGGCAGATAGACCATACTTAACACTCTACCCTAATACTCCAGGTTCACCACAGTCTCCTCATAATACATTTGAAGCCTTAAAAATATAGGAATTGCTTATGAAACTGTAATGCAGCTGAACGTCACCTTAATAACAATTTTTAAAATTGTAATTATATATATATATTATATATATTATGTATATTCAATCTCCAGTACACCTCCCTCCTCCACCAAAAATATGGAAATTCCAGAAAAAAGCTGCACTGACCCACCCTCCTTCCATACCGGGGGATGGGGGGGGTTGTACCTGGTCATGCAGGGGTGTCCCACAAGAGCTACAGCCCAGGTCCAAGGACTCCATGGCACTGGGGGGCACAGGAGGCGGAATAGCTGCCAGAGCCTTGGTTTTGGAGCAAAATTCTGGATACTCGGAAGAAAATCTCTCATAGCCACCTGTTAAAGGAAATGAAATTCAGGTTAATGGGATCATTCATTAAGCCAGCTAGAAAGAACTAGAATAATACACCAAGCTGAAGAGAGAAGCCGATTCTGTGGCTGCCACTTGGTGGTGCTGTGGGCCTACAGATAATGGTTACAGAGATTATTTCCACAGAAGTTAAGTCTGCCTTTGGCCAGAACTGCATCCAGACTGAAGGCTCATGGGGGCAAGACTTTGTTGTAGAATGAAGATACACAAAAGAAGATGTAAGGGTTTGTACCAAAGGGAATGGAGTCTCCAGTGTGGTAATCAGTTCCTCCGGGTGACAGCAAGGAACAGACTACTACAGTGGAGTTCCATGAGAAACAAAGCAGCTTTGCAGATGTGATCTGGACCCACAGATATGCCTGGCATCCCCAGCGCCAACTCTGCAAGGTCTCAGCTATGGAGTAGATGCTAACTGTGTAGCGTCACCAGCAAATAAACAGCCACTCCATCAACAAGGGCCCTAAACAAGGAGGTCCCAGCATCATCCTCTAAAGCAACTCTTCCTGCCCAGCCCTCCTTTCAGATACTTGGATGGGGCAAGGGCTGATTTCCTGACTTGAGCCTTCCAACTGTGGATCATCTTTTCCACTTTGAAATGAAACAAGATAAGGGGCCGAGTCATCCAAGCCAGTTGGGTACATTGCTGCCCAGCCAGAGCCTGAGGGCAGAGGTGGGCAGGGAAGGACTCGGAGCTGCAAGAAGACGCACGCACACTGGAGCCTGTTGTCTGATCTTCTTGTGATCTCTGGAACTTTGCTCGTGGGCAACTTCCCATGTCAGGCCCTGCCTTTATTTTTGTATAGTGTAGTTTCTGTATGACCAGAATTTGTATTCATTTTCAGTAAATGCCTACATACTGGGCAAAAGCTGCCTTCCTCAAGGGCCCATTTTACTGAAGAAAACACTAAGGGTGGAAGGTCCCCTAAGTGGCCAGCTCCCTCCTATCTTTATGGCTGTGATAAGACCCCCACTCCCTCCAGCTGTTCCGGGTCACTGTCCAATGAATGGACAGACCTATGACAATCAGTCACCTGCCTGGAATCCCAACCCTCAAAGCCGGCTTCCTATTGCTTCTGAAAGGAAGGGAAATAATTCTTTGCCACATCATAAGGCTGAGAGAAACAGGGCACCCACTTTTTCCTCTGTGACCTGCGGCTTCTCCGTTCCCCTCCTCCCCTCCCTCTGGATATAAATGGATACCTCTGTGGTCACAGCCCTCCTTCCTGCTGAGTCACAGTGACCTGTCTCCGTGCCAGTGGCTGGCAACTGCCAGCTTCTCATGTGTTCAGCCACCATCTCACCCCAGGGCCACCCCCCCACACACACACCATTAGAACCTCCATCTGTCCCCTTATGAGGTTGCGTACAGACCTGCTACCCAGCATGCAGTGCCTCAAGTTGGGGGAGGGGGCGCGGTGGAGAAGCAGAGAATGTCTATAGTCCAAGTCTACTGATGGACTCGGTGCCCAGGAGACCCAGAAGTTCTGGTTCACTCTGCTCTTTGGAAAGGTGCAAGAAGAAACAGCTGGATCACCGAACTGTAATTGAAACTTGAAACCTGTATCTAAATGTTGCCTGTCACTCTATGTTCTACAGGAACTGGTGTGCGTGCGTCCGTGCGTGCGTGTGTGTGTGTGTGTGTGTGTGTGTGTGTGTGTACACATGACAATACTGGGGCTTGAACTCAGGGCCTCATGCTCTCAGCTGTTTTGATCAAGGCTGGTGCTCTACCACTTGAACCACTCCTCAACTTCCATCTTTTTGTTGGCAAATTGGAGATAAAAGTCGCCCTGAGCTGAATTTGAACCTCAATCCTCCTATCTCAGCCCCTAAATAGCTAGGATTATAGGTGCGAGCCACTAATGCCAGGCAGGCACTGAACATTTTTTTAACAAAATGTTGGTCTGTTTTTTTAACAAAATGTCTTAGTATATGTAAGAAGAGCCATCAAAATACACTTAAAACAACAGCGCAAGGTTTTGAGTGTAACTGGCAAAAACTGCCCACTTAAAACAAATGGGTCTCCAAGATGGTAAAGTCGCAGGGCAGGTGCCCTGGGAGGCCTGGGAGTCGCTTTGAGAGAATGGTCCCTTTTGCAGAGAAGGCACAGAGCGGCGGCAGCCCAACCTAAAGTTCCAGAAGGGGCTCAGGTTCCGCAGATAGGTTGATTCAACCTATCCGCTGCAGCCTTCATCCTCTCTCATCTCTCTGAGCCTCATCCTCATCCTCAGCAATAAAAGATGGTTCCTTTTCCCTTGTGGAGTCTCTAGAAGACTGATTCAGCTGGTGCTCTGTGCCTGGCATCAAGCAGCTGGTTATAATATGATGGTTTCCCCTCTTGGCACCTATGCTGAGAGGAGCCCTTGGCAGAGATCCTCAAAGACCAGAGAGAAACAAGGGCCTGTGTTACACTGGCTGCTTCCCAGTCTCTTGACAGCCCTGTCCAGGGCGTTTCTGATGTGTTCCTGGCAGTCTTGAAACCTGGTAGACAGAGGAAGGGCAGATCCCACACTTCCTGAACTCTGCATTCCCTTCTAGGCAAGAGCTCCACCTCCTCCTGGGGCCAACCAACCAGACTCCCTGGTGCAGGGGGCCCGGAGGGCAAGGCAGCCAAAGGACCTTATAGCCCAGGAGGTAGAGCGGAAACCACACCAGACCTCAGAGGGACCTTGTGTCATCTCCCCCAGGCAGATGGTTAACAGGACAGAGAGAGAAAGTCATGGCCTGGAAAAGACACTTAGAGCAGAGCAGGAAAATGAACACAGAAAAGTCGGTTCCCTCTGGGGGAATTCAAATAACAAGCGGAAAGAAACTAATGGAGAAGCAGATTATTTGCCCAAGGGACAAATGAGAGCCAGGGAAGGTTGTCTTCCCAGACTATAGCAGCTCAGTAAGGGTTTGTGTTTTGGAGGGTTTTATTTTATTTGCTTCCTGAGCTGAGGATGGCTTAGAGACCTGGCTGGTCCTTACAATGTACCTGCAGTAGAGTCAAGTGCAAATATCCCCACAAGATGGAAGAAGCCACTTATGTCCAATACCCCCTATCATGGGAATCATCTGGGTTAGTAACTATAGCTACCAGCTACCAGTGATCCTAGCTACTCAGGAAGCTGAGATCTGAGGATTGCGGTTCCAACCCAGCCTAGCCAAGAAATTCCAAGAGACGCTTATCTCCAGTTAGCCACAGAAAAGCTGAAAGTGGAGCTGTGGCTCAAGTGCTAAAGAATGCCAGCTTGAAAAAAAAAGGGAGGGCCAGCTTTGAGTGCTTAGGCCCTAAAGTATACACATACACACACATACACGCACTCACACACATACACACGCATATGTACACACACACACACTAGCTACCATGACTTAGGAATACTACCACATGCCAGGCTCTCTCCTGTATCCAACTGGCCCTGTGAAGTGCACAAGCTCTGATTTTATAAATAGGAAAGTAAAGCCGAGAGCAGCCAGCAACCCAGTTGAGCACAGGTAAGGGTGCAATACTTTCTGGTGCTCTCAAAACCAGATTTCTTCTACCTTGACCATCATTTCTGCCTTTCACCCTCCCCAGTGGCTCTTCCCTAAGCAACAGGGTCTGCTAGCTTACTCAAGTGAGCCCCATCTTTTTGCAAAAGCAGGAGGGGAACTCCAGCAGGGCACTGCTGATAGGTTACCAAACTCTGCCCCACACAGACTTCTTTTATGGTTCTTTAGGAGGCATGAGTAGTATAGTTTAAAGATGAAAGGCAATAGATTAGAAATGCAAAGATGACACTAGGAATAGGGCTTGAACTGAAGGCCTCACCCTCCCATTTGGCTTTTTCACTCTGCATTCTACCACTTGAGCCACGTCTCCACTTCCAGCTTTTAGCTGGTTAACTGGTGATAAGTATCTTCCGGATTTGTCCACCCATGAACCTCAGATCTCAGCCTCCTGAGTAGCTAGGATAACAGGCATGAGCCATGGGTACCCTGCAGCTGTTGCAATTGTTGAATGCATGTACTGCACCATGCAACATCTGTTTCAGGAGTATATGAATCTCTGCTGGAGCCTAATGCAAACCTTTTTTTTTTCAAGGTTTGAACCCAGAGCATTCAGTTTGATGGACTTGCTTGCTCATCTGGTACTTTACCACTTGAGACACACCCAGTACTGGGATATGTGTGTATATATCCTACTTTAAATCTCCCACGTTCAAAGTCAAGAAAGAATAAGAAAAGGATTTCACCATTTCTTTAGAGGCAAAACTGCATGTATAGTTCAGCTCCTTCTCACAGTCACACAGGAGCACAGCAATGATCATTCAAAGTTGAGTGGCCTGATGATCCCCCTTGCAACAAATGCTCCAGGAAGGCTGCCACCCTGAAGTAAGAGATAATGTATGTGAAAGTACTTCACAAAGAGCGTCAAAGCACTGCTAATATTATAATAAGACTTCTAATGGGATCTGGGAAGAGAAAGACTATTAAGGTATGGTGGGGAGAGCTGTCATTTTTTTTTAAACACCAGTACTGAGGCTTGAACTCCGGCCCTCTTGTTCTTTCTTAACTTTTTAGCTCAAAGCTAGTACTCTACCGCTTGAGCCACACTTCTACTTCCTACCTTTTTGCTAGTTAAATGGAAGTAAGAATCCCTCTGATTTTTCTACCCAGGCTGAGATTTTTTTTAGCCTTGCTGAAGCTTTTGAGCTTTTGATCTTCTGATCTCAGACTCCTGAGTAGAGGATTACAGGCATGAGCCACCAACACTGGACAAGGGCCTGCAATGTTTTAAAACCAGAGTCACTACCTCCTAGATCTTGTTCATGATCTTGCTCCAACCTAGCAAGAAATTAATCTGAGTTGTTTGAAGGTCATTTGCCTCAGGGAACTTTACGTGGGAGGTAAGCACCTACGTAAATGCTGAGCAGTCTTTAAAACTTGGCCAAGTGGACTTCTCACCATGGAACTCCTGGCTCAGAGAAAGCTGTCTTTT